AAGACAACATTTTTCAAACAAGTGACAAAGTAAATGTATTGGTCTGAAATTTCACTATAACACTTAAATTGAAACATTTTAAATATAAACGTGACAATACTAATATATTTATCTCGATACAAATCACACCAATAACTAATGCCATAAGTGAATTATTATTTTCCTAAAGAGTCAATAACTACAAGCCTTGTTCAATTATAAATTGATCTAATAAATAATATATATTGGGTAAAATAACATTTTTCGAAAAATTTGGTGAACGGTTTGATTTGATTTCAAATGATTTTTAACTATCGAGATCTAAATAGATTCATTTCCAAACAGTTTGATTCAGTTTAGACACTGTCGAAATCTAAATCACATGTATCCTAGCTAACAATTTACACATCGCAATTTCTTTCGATTTGATGGCTTGAAGGTTTTTTTTTACCCCAATTTTTTGTTTCCCACCCAATGACTCTTTCCTTTAAAATTCTAACATGATTTTTTTTTTTTTTTTAATTTTGTAAAGAATCAGTTTTTTATTATAAATACTTATTTCTTTTCTACATTTTCACATAATATTGATATCTTTTTCCAATTGTCTTATTAAATTTCTAGAAAAATATAAAAATAATAATAGAAAACAACATGCTGGACCGACTCGACTCGCAACATTCGCCACTCTATGGGTTAGGTTGATTCTCAAATTTGCGGGTCCATGGGTCGAGCTGATTCTTGAATTTTGAAGATGGGACTAAAACCATATTATAAAACCAAACCGTTACCGATGTGACAAAATAATGTTTGATTGTAGGTGAGATATCTAGTCAACCTATCCATTTGGATAATCCTAAATAATAATCTAATGTCAACACGGTGTATGAATTCATGTTCAATATAGGACAATTTCCAGGTCAAATATCATATTATAGCATGCTAATTTATGTCTATAGGAGTAGTCCTTTTCATCTCTAAATACACAGAAATTAACAGAAATGTCATACTCTAAACATAGTAAAATCATGTTATCTACACAAATTTGTTAATAACAAAGATATGTGCTTGTTAAATCTAATTGTTTTCGTATTATTACGTCATGCTTATGATTTAGATCAACCATCGTCTAAGTTAGAGTATGTTTGATGCACATTAAAATGGAAAAAATGCATTTTTTTTGTGATGTGACGGTGAATATGTGGTTGAAAAAAGGAAAAGTTATTGATGTAATGAAAAATATTATTTTATTGAAGAATGTGTGGTTGAAAATGAGTAAAAGAATGAGAATGAAAATGAGAATATGACTCAAATAAAAGCTAAATAAATGATAGAATTAATCGTGCCTCGTTTCAAAGGCCCTTAGAATTCATGCATCATGGCAAGGGGAAGCCATCTTGTTTTACTAGTTGGCCTTTTCATTACGATTGTAGCATTAAATTTTGAACATTGGATAAAAATTTTGTTGATTAATAAAATTTTGACACACAACATATCCTACTTATTTTAAAAGTACACGTGTTAAATCACAATAAATGTTATATTTCTCATTGACACATATCCTTGTTGAATAATGCTACTTGCAGTCGCTCACTGCAGTAGTCGCCCTATTTGACACACACATGATATATAGTTATTTGATGCATTAATGTGGTAGTTATCGACAACAATTTTAAAATATCGAGAACGTCATTAAAGGGAAGTCGGTTCTTTTCGAAATTCGTGACAAAGTGAAAAAAAAAATTGCTTCATTTTTCATGAAGGTAATAATAGACAGTTTAGTATTAAAATTTGTCCATTTTTAAAGAGTTATCAAAATTAGACAATTTTTAACTGATAGGCATGGAATTAGGCATTTTTTAAAATTCCCCTAACATTTATGTAGTTAAAGCTTTCCTTCTTTAATGTTTTATATAATTGTACCCATTTTCGAGGAATTATAGTTTGTTCGGTTTTCTAATCATATGTTTGATCTTTCGCACACGGCTCACCCAACGAGGTTGGTGTGTTTCTTTTCTTATCCCATTCGCTTAAGAATCCTCAGATCTCTCTAACAAATTCATTGCTTTTATTTTACTCTCAATAATCATACTCTTCCTCTCTCTGACCCGATAGTCTTGGATTCAACAGATAAACATTTATATGGTCAAATTAATATCTGATCGCATACACAGAAGTGTGATTGAGTGTGAAATGGCGTGTGAAAGATTGTACAAAAGAAATGGGGTCTAAGAAAAAATCAAATTCCAATAAGAATTCTCTCTCCGCTTCTGAAGATAAAGACATGTCGATCTCAGGCAAGTTTTTCAGTTTACTAATTTTTTATTTGGGATTTTGTTTTAACAGTTGGATCTGTCTTTTATTATTGATAGAAGAAAAATCCGATTCGTTCTTAGGAGCTTAATATGAATCTGAATTTTCGATTGCATGATTTGAATTTGATAGTTTGTGTGTTTGATTTTCCTTTTTTTGTTGTTTTTTTTTTTTTTTGGATTTGATGGTGAAAGGGAGAACTGTGGATAATGATTCCAAAAATGATCCTTTATTGTCTGGGTATATACTATAGTTGAAATTATACTGATTTATGTGTGTGTTATAGCAGTATATACGGTTTTAATGTGGTCTTCTTTCAGCTGTTCAATTGACATGAGCATAGCTATTATTAGGGTTCCTTTGTCGGATTTTAGGGGATTCAAATGAACACACGCACACGCATATCTGCACGACACGTGTTCACTCATGAATATTTACCAAGAATATGGGAAAAAAAAAGATTTCGCTTACCCCAGTGAGGTAAGTGAATCTTATTCCTCTACCCTCTACATTATGACACGTGGCTGTGGGTTATGTCCTGTAGATGATCTCTAGCTCCCGAAATTTGAACACCGTTGATTCTCGCACTATGCTGTTATCCACTGCATTTAAATAGGTCCGAGGTTGAACCCTTCAAAGTTAGACATACATTTCTCTTAAGCACTTTTCAAGCTTAGCCAAACACGAATGCTTACTAACACAATTATGCCAGCCTTTGTAAAAGTTCAAAAATTGCCAAACCATTCCAACAATGAGAAAAATAATACTTCGTTGTTTTTCATCATAAGTGTGTCAGTGAGAGTAACGGAAAGAGCTATGCTGGTGTTTACATATGGCTGCAAATGTTCTTGGACGACTGCTCCGTAGGTTCATGCTGCCCCTTAATGTAAAATTGGTTTAGTTTTCAAAATCTCATCATTATTCTGTTACAGTTGAATTAATAAATTAACTAACTTTGTTTCTAGCTCAGAAGCTTATAAGATTGGTAGGTTGTATTTGATATCTATGATAGATATCAAAAGTACAATTGAATTTAGCATAGTCCATGGAGAAAGTAGCCCTTAGGATATGACTTAATTTTTTTATTTTTATTTTGTTTTTGTAGAAAGGAAATACCTGCAGAATGTCACTTTTGATGCAGTTATATAACTATTGCGACACTATATAACTACAGGCCTATGGAATATGAGATATAATGGGATGTAAGCGGTCCGATTTTTGACAAATTTTCAAACCAAACCGTTTTGACCGGTTTGAGAAAAGCTCAAACCTAAATCAAACCGTTTTGACCGGTTTGAAAAAAACTCAAACCTAAACCTAACGGTTTGGTCCGGTTTTAAACCGCC